AAAAACTGAAGAATTTCTTTCCTTATTCCCTTCTCAACCTAGGTAAGTAATTAATGTCTTGAGTTTCAGGTTGCTGGAAGTCAAACCCAATAGGAAAATGGAGGTGGAGAGGAGAATTGGGAGAGAGGGAATTAATTTTCGGTTTTCAAAATTGAGAGGGGGCAGGTGAGAGAACTGTTAAGGAAAGGAATTGAATTCCCTTGAAAGTTACGGCTAGGAGAGTGATGGAAGAAATAAAAATTAATGCCAAGGAGATTGGTGGGCTTAATTTGGAAATTGATTTCAAATTAAGAGGCAACATTAATGCTTAATTGGGGACTTAATAGGGTAATTAATGCTGGCCCAAATTAATAAATTAAATTTGGGAAGAAAGATCTCATCCCAAATTAATTTAAAATTCAAAAGCTATGACTTGGATAGTTTCCAAAATTAGGATCTCCAATTTAGGCAATAATGTCAAATTCAAATAAATCATTTACAAACTTTCCAAATATAGACGTTCTAATTTTGGGAATAATTTGAAATTTCAAACCGTCATGAGCGGAGAGGAGGTGGGTGGACGGAGGTCGGGTGGTGATGGGGCGGCAAGGTGGGCGGTCGGAGGTGGATCTAGGGGAAGAACTTGGGTGGATGAAGAGGGGAGAAAGGAGATGAACAAGAATATACGAGAAAGATAGAGATAAATAACGAACTCACAAAGAGATCGTAAGAACCGCGAACCTCGGACTCTTCCAAAGATTGACGGGTATTGCTTTTGCCCTCACCTTGGGCTTTCCATAGAACTCACACAGAGATCTAGGAGAGTTGAACTCACCAAGAGATCAAGAAAATATGAACTCACAAAGAGATCAAAAGTAGAAATTTTCATTCATCATCATCCTAATACAAGAGAATGAGCCTCTATATATAGGCCCCAAGAGAAATTAAAAAACACATTTGCCCATTGGGCTTACATAAGACAAGAGGATAAAAAGGAAAATTGCAAAACTAAATTAAAATACACTTAATAAACGAAAATAAAATAAAGTGATCTCGGTCGTCGATCTTCAGCTCCTCCTCGGATAAGCATGGACGGTTGGATGTCCGCATCACAAATGCAGAGCTCCGACATGGTTATTTGACGGTTTGGGGAGGGATGGACGGCACCACGAATTTTCTGGCCGTTTGGGACAGCACTTTGACAACCCTTGGGTAGTAGACGACACTCAGGACTACACCAATCAGCTGGACCAAAAAACAGGGTTGCAAAACTCTCTGGGACGATGCGTGGAATGCTGGTCAGCAGACAAGAGCAAAACCTGGCAGCACTATGGCTGATTGGAGCTTCCCTGACAGCAGTTTCTACTTGGAAAATTGCTGGACAGCAATTTACTGCAGGTTTTTGGAGTTTGGTTTTGAATTTTGAATCCCCAACTCATGTGATCAATGCCATAAAGTGGCATTTAATGGAATTAATCCCAAGCAAGGCCGGCGGCATAGAGAGGGGAGAGGAGGGAATTAATTCACAATCCTGAAATAAGTTTCAGAATTTGAAATTTTAGGAGAGAGAAATTATTTGAAATTAATTTCAATTTCAAATAGGATGGGACATTAAAGGAGCAATCAATGGGGGGATATCTCTCATGGGGGCCGGCGACATGGTGAGAGGGGAGAGGGAGATTCGGGACGGATTAAGCGCTTTCCAATTGAGTCGATGCCACCTAGGATGAAAAATTAATAATTCCACATGTCATGAAATTGGGATTGGATCAATTCAAAAACTTTCCTTTTTAGGAATTTTGCAAATATGAAAAGTTTGAATTTCAAATTTAAAATTCAAAATCGGTAACTCCTTTATTTATTGCTAGGCCACAATCAAGGAGCCATTATGATGATTGACATCTTCATCATGGCTGGGAGCAAGGTGGTGGCCGGCGGCCAAAGGAGGAAGAGGGGCTTGCCATCGGGTTTGGGGATTTCTTGATGGAGCTTGGGCTGTGGTGGAGGAAGCTAATGGGTAACTTGGTGGATGATGGGATCTCGGGTAGGGCTTGGCGTGGGGAGGAGGAAAATGAGCTTTGGAGAAGAAAACAAATAATAAAAATAAACCACAAGTCGAGGACGCTTCCGACGACTGGCGGGCTTTCCTTAGAACTCACACAGAGATCTAAAAGAATTGAACTCACCAAGAGATCAAGAAACTATGAACTCACAAAGAGAACACAAAGAGAAGAATCTCCTAATAATCATCATCCCTTTCCAAGAGGAAGGGGAGGGCTTAAATAGCCAAATACATGAAGGAAAATAAAAAGACACAATTGCCCCTAGGGCAAACATAAAACAAAGCCCTCAAGTGAGGGTAGAAATGGAAAAGTACAAATAACAAATACATCAAAATAAATAGACACGATCGTAGCCGTTGATCTTCGATGTCCTCATCAACCGGCCCTTATTGGGCTCCCTCCCATTAATTCCCCTCATTAAGGAATTAATTACAATCAACGCTTGGGATTCAAATTTCAAAATTCTCCCTCCAAAATCACTTAAATCTGAAGTTAATTTCAGATTTCTTAAAACTCCTTAAACAATTCTCTAACCTAGCCGCCACTCTCATTCCAAGCTCCAACGCCGATCGACACCTCCCCCCCCCCCCCCTCCACCCCCCCCCCCCCCCCCCTCCACTTCCATGTTGCATGGCGGATCCCGAACTTGAATGGGGACTTGTGTTCGACGCTTACGGTAATATCAACATTCTACGATCTCCATTCTTCGACATGGGATTTGAACACGAAGACACCATTGGAGGTTACTTGATCGGATTCTCCCTGTCCTTGTGTCCGTCATCGACCGTCAATTTTCAGACTACACTTAGATCATCAACAGTCATCCCCCCGTGCCACCTCCACCTCCGAGTTCCTTCTCAACAACGACGTTCCTTGGCTCCTCCCTCCTCGTGGCGACCTCATTCCTAGCGTGGACGATCTTCCTCCGCTCAACCTAGATTCGTAGGACAGAGAGAAAGGCCTCAAGGTGAACAACTCCTTATTAATCGTTGGATTCAAGTCATTAACTTTTAACTTTACGTTCTCCTTTGTATTTGATTAAATTGTACGGTTAATTTCCTTGTAATCTCTTTCCTAAGCAAGTGGAACACAAAGAATTCTCATAACCAACTTTGAATTGATGCATGCTTTTATAAGAGGTTAAGCTAATAGTAAATTTTCTTTTCTAATCTTGTCTAACTCAAGCTTGCATCACATCAGATTAAGCTAGAATAGAACTAAATTTGGCTCAGCTCTAGATTGAATCAAATGACTGTGAACATTCAGCCAGGATCAGATTTGCTCAAGATCGAATCATTAGCAATCCTAAATTTGATTCGCATGATGGTTGTTCAATAGTATGATGTTATATAATGTTCCTTGTGATAAATGCACTTCAATTATTTGCACTCCATTTTATGAAGTGAACAAGACCCTTTTACATGTAGCATTAAGCTTTGTGTACAACCATGCTCACAATTCCATCAAACCGTGTTCTGCACAACCAAACACAGATTTAATCTCCTATGGATTAATTGCAAGCAAAATAATTGTTAGGAGCATCATTATACCCATTCTAACATATGTGTCATCAAGCTAAACCATTCATCACTGCTTAAGATAGAAACGGCTATGCATATTATCATATAATAGGAATAAACTGTTTTATGCAAACTAATGCTCATAAGGAGTATCAATGTCAATCTGAACAGAATACACAGTTATCACCACAGAAGTACAAGTAAATTAGATGAAAACTAACCTTAACCAACTCAGACATCTTCTCACCATCTGCAAAAGATGAATCACCTGGAAAACTATTCAGCTAATATTGAAGTCCATCTAGACATAAATGCTATAAAAAGTAGCCAATTACAAAGGGGAACAAGAATCCATAAACAAAATGAGTTCACAATCTAACCTCCAGAAGAGAAGGAGCGTGATGGAATTAGTATGGATTTGGGATCTTTAAGAGGTGAAGATGCCTCCACTGCTGTAATGTCATTAAAGCATCAGTAAAATATTTTTTTAAAAAAAAGTGCTCCAATTAACCAATAGCAAATGCCGTTCAAGAGTTACCTCTCTTACAGTTCCTCCACTCATTTTTCAGAACTGCTGTAAGCATATCACACCATGTTCCTTTGGCTTCTCTAAACAGATTAGCACTGGAATCCCTGTGCGACTCCTGTGAAGAATCATTAGAATATTTATCTTGACGCAAGTAAATGAATAGGTGCAACTTGACAAAAAAATATATGGACACAAGCATTTCCAAAAGTAGACTGCGCAATATGGATGGGCTGAATCAAACCGTGTGTTCTTTGGCCCAAGTTCCACTAAATATTTAAATATGATATCATAAAAGATAACAACACTTGATGTCCTATCATAACTTTGATCTAATAAGTCGAGCCTACGCAGGGTAGTAGGATCAGAGTTTAGCTTAAAAGATCAAATCTATTTTAGCTAGTATCAAGCTTGAATCAAGCCAAGCGACAAGCTAAATTTTTGGCTTGATTAATACTTAAAGCAGGGCAAGGATCAAGTAGGCTTGAAATCAACAACAAATAAAAACAACAACATCAAGCCTTTATCCCATGATGTGGACTCAGCTACATGAATCGTTTTTCTCCATTGTGCCCTATTAAGAGTCAAATTCTCATTTAAATCTAATAAAAAAATATCATTTCTAATACTTTCCAACCAAGTCTGTTTAGGTCTACCTCTATCTTTCTTAATATAGGTCAAATATAATACATTTGCTCTCCTGACTGGGTCATCGGAAGACCAATGTTTTACGTGACCAAACCATCTAAGGTGACTCTCTCTAATCCTATCTACCATTGGAGCTACTCCAACCTTTTCACGAATATGCTCGTCTTGCATTATGTCTCCAAGTGTAAAGCCACTCATCCACTTGAGCAACCTCATCTCCATAACACTTAATTTTTTTATTTCTCTTTTAATAACCAACATTCTGCGCCACAAAGCATTGTAGTTCTCACCACCATCTTTTAGAATTTTCCCTTAAGTTTGAGGGGTACTTTTCTATCATAAGCCCGATGCATTCCTCCTCTTCAACCATCCAACTTGAATTCTACTAATAATATCTTCATCTATTTCACCATCGCTTTGAACAATAGATCCGAAATATCAAAAATGTTTACTCTTTTTAACAACTTGATCGCCCAAACTCACAACCCCCAACCAACCCCCCTCCCCAAACAACCCAACTAGATCTACTACTAAAATTACTCCATATATTCGGTTTTAGACCTACTCGAATGAAAACCTTTAGACTCTAAGGTTGACTTCCATAATTCAGGTTTTCCTTCAATTACCTCTCTGGTCTTATCAATAAGAAGAATATCATTAGCAAAACATAAACCAGGGTACATCCTCTTGCAAATGTCTAATAATAACATCCATGGCTAAAGCAAATAAATATGGCTTTAAATTGATCCTTGATGTAATCCAACTAAAATAGGAAAATACTTTATCAAACCACCTTGTGTTTGTACATAAGTAACAGCTCTTGCATACATATCCTTAATGACTTGAATATAAGCATTATTAAGTCTTTTTCTTTTCTATAACTCTCTAGAGCACTTTTCTTGAAACTTTATCATATGTTTTTTTTTGTAAATCAATAAATATCATATGTAGAATCTCCTTTCTCTATACTTCTCCATCAAACCTCTCAACACATTTATAGCTTCCATAGTAAACCAATCCAACACGAATCCAAATTGATTTTGAAAAACATTAGCATCAAATTGAAAAAATACATTATATATTTTTGAATATTTACACATAAATACATATATAGATATCATAAATATATAAATATGGATATAAAATAAATTATGACAAATTTGTTACTATTGAGCCAGCTTGATTAGTTCAAGCAATCTCAAAATCGATCAAAGCAACAGTCAGCCGCATATTTAGGTTGTACCCCGTACAGGGAGGCATACACCTGCTAAAAAAGCAAGAACAAAACTGACTCGCATGTTCCACCCAAACAACTGCAGGCCACCAGCCTCCACTGCATACCGCTCTACTCGTCAGTCATTCACAATCCCAATTACTACGGACTTCATACTAATTATCTGATGCTCATTGGTTTTTTAGGGTTTTAATTATCAAGAAATAGAATTAAATGCCCAAAATTTTGATATATCAGGAGAATAACAATTATCAATAAATCAAGTGAAGTTCGACATAATGAAAAGGGCAACCTAATAAATATCTGTAATATTTTCTTCAAACTAGATTAAATAATAAAGCACAAACTTTCTGTATCAACATGTAAACAATAGATCTCACACTGAGGAACTAATATGATGAGGACATCAGATTTCGACACATGTACCATCACCGGAGACACAGATCGACGGCTACGATCCAGAGCCTCTACTTCTGATTTATTTGCATTTTTATTTTATGCTTGTATTTCTTGTTTCCTAGTTTGCCCCTGTGGGCATTGAGTCACTTATGTAGCCTGGAAGGGCATTTGTGTCATTTCATCTTTATTTCATTTTGGCCTACTTATATGAGGCCTCATGCATTGTAATGAGTAGTTTTTTATGAATGAAAATTTGCCTCTTATGTTCTCTTTGTGAGTTCAACCCTCCCCAATCTCTTAGTGAGTTCGTCGGAGAAGATATATCTCTTTGTGAGTTCTAGATTTTTGCCAAACTATTTTTGTCTTCGAGAGTTCTAAATTTTCGCCAAGATATTTTCGTGGAGATCCGGATTGAAGATAATTGAGGTGAGTGGAATTTTAGAAAATCAAATCCCTAGAAATTCCCCTCCTCCCGTCCCCTCACCCCTTGCCGCCACCTCCCCTTGAGCCGCCCAGGCCGCCGGCCTACAAACCCCCACCCACTGGACATTGCACAATTCTTAGATTAGAACAAATCTAGAAG